CAGCCAATTTTGAAAGAGATGTACCCTAGCTCAGACAATGTTATTTTTGAGTATGTTAAAGTTGTAATGAAATGCTTCTTCTAAAAAAAAAATGGGTAACTGGCATATATATAACCTTGCCAAATACTTCCATTTTGCTGAAATTCCACACTTGTATTCTTCCTGTTATAGATCTTCCAATTTAGTTCCTAGTGATGACTCTTATCTTGGTTCCCAGATGTATTCCAGATTGTTGTGTCCTTGTATGTCAGAGAACAAAGACACGGGAAACAATTTTTAGTCTCTTGGGTGCTAATCCTACTACTGCATGGGTGACTTTCTAAATACATCACCTGCTGAATAGTTTCTTAACATACAGCTTTTGGGTGCTACACTGGATTCATAGTCTATATGTTTTGAGCCTTGACACTTTGCAAGGAAGTAGCTGAACTCATAGTATGCTTTTAAAAGATTGGAACTTCCAATCTGATGTTTAGAAAGGAAAATACTTTTGCCTTTAGTAACCTTCTAGAAAATGATGGGAAAATTTCAAGGAAATTGTTTTGTCTAAAAGTTCATGTATATTATGAGTAATTAAATCAAAACATGATCTGAAAATGTTGCTTGTGAGAAGTTTGCACTTCACCAAGTAGAATGATTAACTCTTAATTTTGACAAAAGAATCCAGAGAAGAGAGGGCAGCAGGGCTAATGGAAGAGGAAGAAGTCGGGTGTTTGGAAATGTACAAGTTCAGACCTGTATTCACTCTCATTTTTGTGGTTTGTGACTGTGAGCTTCTGAATACATGTTACCTACTTTCTAGCCTTCTCTGGAGCGCAGTGGACAGTTTTGATCTCTGAAGGAGCTAAGAGGCATTAGGATAGACAAAGCAAGCAGCAAGCAAACCTTTTATTTTTGTGAGTGGGTTGGGGGAATATTTAACTCTGTCAAATAAATACAGGAATTCCACAAGTTCAAGTCCAGCTTGGACTATAGAATGAGTTCTGGGCCATCCAGGGTTATTGAGTAAAATCATGTTTCAAAACCAAGAAGAGGTACAAGAGAGTGTAAATAGAAGTATGCAGGTAGCTTTTGCTGTTTTGGAACTTTAAATGAGATGCCAAACTTCGTACTTTGAGTATACATAACTACCAGAATATTTCAGACAAACTTGTAGAAGCCCAGTGAAAGTTGTGTTCCATTGTAGACTCAGAGGTTATAAAGGAACATTATGTTGTGAAATTGTTCTGGACAGGAATTTGAGAGGGTTAAAAGTAGGACTTTTCCAGTCAGAAGAAAAGAAAGCATTGCCAAGAAGTTAAATGGTATGAACAGATTAAAAGACACTGCCCTGGCTCATGAGGTGAGCAACTAAATCTGTCCATTCACTATAGTACTCTCATGTCCAGGTCATTGTCTGAAGCATAGGTCTATAAGCATTTCATGGATGAATTAAGTCTGTAAGTCAGCCAGTCGGTGAAAGTCATGGTTGTGAACACTGGGAAATGTGGCTGGAAGAATGTGTTGATTTGGGTTTGGGAGGATGTTAAAAACGTGTGTCAACTTGGGTTTGTCTTTTGGGTAGTGAGAAAGTGTGGTGGATTTGTCGTAGATGGTGCATTAGCAGACTGGAGAGGGGTGTGGGAAGCCCTTCTAGGAGCAAGGGACTCCTACAGTGTTGTGCTGTTGCGTTTTGATGATTTAGACTGGAATGGAGAATGCAGATACGAATATGAAATGTGTTAAGGGACATTTGAAGAATGATGATATGATGAAATGTGTAAAGAAATAGAGGTGTGAGTCAACTCTTGAAATTTGTAACCATGAACACACTTACAGGAGGAGGACAAGTTAGGGATTTTGAATGGAGACAGAGGAAGCAGTTGAAAAGGGAGGATCAGGTCTTTTCAAAGAGTAGCATTCATGACTTCGTATGATTAAATTATCATTAAACTCTGTGGTACATCTCATGCTCAAATAAAGATGAGACCTTGATGTATTGTGTGTTAGTAATTTTGTTTTAAAGTTAAGTATGCTGAGCACTTGGGAAACACTTTGTTTTGCCTTTATGTTCTCTCCTGAACAGCCAAAATGCAAACTAAAGGCAACTCTAAAAGTTTGGAAAGATGTTTTTAATATTTTTGAAAAGAGTACTGGTACTGTAGCTTTGAGCTTCATTGTGGATTATTAGAATGAAAAAGAATACTGTTGGAATCACATATTCTATGTCCAGTTGGAATCACCATTAGCAAATTAGCTGTTTTGAGGTTGAACTTCTCAGGGATTTACCAGGGACCAAGTTCTTAAGTGACTCTAGTTCCTTATATACAGGGTTATAATTCTAGAAAGCAGCTGTCAGATTTTGTAAGATGCTATGTTTTTAATTTTCTTTTTATCTAGAGTAAAATAAAGAAGCGATCCTGGGTTCTCCATGAATGTTTGGAGAGAGTTCCTGAAAATGTGGATGCGGCGAAAGAACTGCTGCAGTATGGATTGCAAGGCACAGACCTGGAGGCTCTCGTAGCAATAGGGAAAGGAGCAGATAATGGCAGGTTGGTTGTAGAGCGTGGGAGTTTACAGCAAAGGTGACTTCCTGAAACTTTGAAACTGAGACGTTGTGCCAGGTAGACGTTAAGCCACTCTATATTGAAGCTGTTTCTCTTTAACCAGTACTTTCTGATCTTAGGCCAGAGCTATCTTTCCTTTCAGTTAAAGCAGGGCAATGATTTGATACTGAGGACATACCAGGTTCTACATGTGCTTATAAATGTTGGTGATTTCAAAGTTGGGTTGTTTTAGAACTCACAGGGTGGCTTACAAGTCAGCCTGTCCTTTTCTTACCTTTAGGTTCATGCTAATCACTTTTAGTGATTATATAGCCTCTGAAAGCACCTCATAAACTTTTAAGCATATCCAATTGCCAGTTAATAATAATAATAATAATAATAATAATAGTAATAAATAATTTGACAGG